TTCCTCAAAAAATTAAAAACAGAACTATGACCCTATGACCCAGCAACTGCACTACTAGGTATTTGTCCAAGGGATACAGGCGTGCTGTTTTGAAGAGACACATGCACCCCAATGTTCATAGCAGCATTATCACCAATAGCCAAAGTATGGAAAGAGCCCAAATGTCCATCAACGGATGAATGGATAAAGATGTGGTGTGTACGTACACACACACACACACACACAATTACTCAGCAATCAAAAAGAATGAAATCTTGCCATTTGCAACTACATAGATGGAACTGGAGGGTATTATGCTAAGTGAAATTAGAGAAAGACAAATATCTTATGACTTCACTCATATGAGAAATTTAAGATACAAAGCAGATTAACATAAGGGCAGGGAAGCAAAAAGAATATAGGGGGATACAATAGCCAAAACATGGAAAGAGCCCAAGTGTCCATCAATGGATGAATGGATCAAGATGTGGTTTATTTATACAATGGAATACTATATGTCAATGAGAAAGAATGAAATCTGGCCATGTGTAGCAACATGAATGGACCTTGAGGGTGTTATGCTGAGTGAAATAAGTCAGGCAGAGGACAAATACCATATGTTTGGTACAGGAGGATTAGGAGGAACGTAATGGAGGGCCATGGGGGAGAAGGGGGGAAATAGTGGGGGAGAGGGAGAGAGGCAAACCATGAGAGACTCTTGAATGCTGAGAACAAACTGAGGACTGATGGGTGTGGGGGGGACGGGGGGGATGGGCATGGAGGAGGGCACTTGTGGGATGAGTACTGGGTGTTATATGGAAACCAACTTGACAATAAACTATTTGTAAAAAAAAAAAAAAAAGAAAAAGAATACAGGGGGATAAAACATAATAGACTCTTAAAAATAGAGACCAAACAGTGTGTTGCTGGAGGGGTTATGGGAGGGGTAGATGGGCTAAATGGGTAAGGGGCATTAAGGAATCTACTCCTGAAATCATTATTGCACTATATGCTAAGTTGGATGAAAAATTTAAAAATTAATTTAAAAAATAAATAATTGGGGGAAAAAAAGGAAGTCAGAACAAAAGTGGACAGAAAAAGAAAAGATACAAGAGTTAGTCAAAATCAGGAAAAACTGAAGAAAAAGACAAATCATCTCGGAGGAAAAAAGACTAAGCTATATGATGCCCCTGGGAAACAGATTTTACTTAAAATATAATAACTGATATTAAGGAAAGGAATTAGAACAGTTAAGGAATAAAATCAAGAAAGTAATAAGGATCACATAGAAGTTCTAGATACAGAGGCAAAGAAAATCCAACATGTATTATATGTGCTCTGAAGAAAAAAAAAGCAAAATAATGGAACAAATCTAATATTCAAAATTATAATACAAGAAAACTTTCTGGAAACAAAACTTGAATCTACACATGAATAGGGTCTTCCATGAACCTAGGAAAATTGATATGGAATGGTCAACTCTGAGATCGTAGAAAATCAATTAAATTTGAAAAAAAATCCTCCACGCTTCAGGCAAAAAGACGAAATCATTTAGGAAGGAAAGAAACAGATTGGTATTTTTCACAACAATATACAAAGAAAGGCAGCAAAGAAGTTTTTTAAAAAAAAACAAGGACTCTCAAAATAAATAAACTTAAAAAAAAACTCAAGGAAAAGAAATTTGAACCAACATTTTATATTCACCTGTCTTTCAAATACCAAAGCTATAAAAATCAGTATTAAATACACAAAAATTCAAGAATACAGTATTCAGGAACCTCTCTTGGAGGAAATTCAGAAAATCTTACGATGGTGAGCATTAAACATATTAAGTTGTGGATTTCTAAAATAAAAGTGGTAAAAAGGTGGAAAAACAGTATGCAAATTGTTTCCTAAAAACATGACTAAAAAAATGGGATAGAAAAGGAAAAACAGAATAAAAAACTGTAGTTATACAATAGGAGGGAAATCAAGATAAAGCTGACAAATAAAAAAGTACATTCCAAGTAAAGGAAATTTGAGGACATGAGAAAAGATACAACTATGACCAGAACTATTGGAATAAAAACACAAACATTACTACACACCAAAAGTAATTTTAAAAGTGAGTCTTTCGTTTAGGGTTGTTTTTTGTTTCTGGCACTAGAAGATGCTCCAGATTCATCTACTTCCTTCCCCAGTCCTAGCATCAGCCAATTCTCCAAGGAGCTGGTTCCTGGTGTAAAGGGAGTGGAACATTCACTGGAAAACCAGTCGCTCTGGTGCTCTGTATAGGGCAATAGTCTTAAAATACTCTTTCCAAGGCTGATTACTGGGAAAATGATGAGAGGTGGCAAAAGGGCTTAAAATTAGTACCAGCAGGTCCTGAACCACTTGAGTAGTTAGGAGATGCTTTACTTGAAGGAACCATTCAGCTAGGGCCAATATGGGAGCATCCTCTAGATTATACTATCTTGACTGGTGAGAAAGATGTGTGATACAGTAAGCTGACCAGAACAGGAATGATCTATTATGCTCTCGTGTCCAAGAAATTGCCCTAAATCGGCCACTCGAAGTGCCCATCTGAGGACACAAGGCAATGAGGACTCCTGTTCATTTACCCGCTAGTGAGCTCTACCAAGAAGTTGCCTTCCAAGCTTATTCTCTATTACAGGCAATAGTCACCTGGGCCCCAAGTCTTTGGACACATCCTCCAGACCCTCTGTTCCCAGAACAAATTACAGGGAATGCCCGAGTCAGAAGAGAATTTTTATAAGCTACAAGTTGTATTTCAGACCTTACCTTGGAAACTTGGAGCTAAACCAAAGAAACCACACAGGTCCTCTTCAGGTGTCATAATAGATGTTATATAGTATTACTTTTTCTGTTATGATTTCTAAAAATTATTTTAAGCCCATGAATATTCTATTCCTTTTATGTATATTGTTAAACAGTTAACCTTTCTTTTCCCACAATTCCTACTTTTCTCCAGTTAAACCAGTTATAATTTCACTATGCATCTTCCAGACCTTTTTCTCAATCTATATAACTGTACACACAATAGTTTGATGAAGCGGGTCAGAGGCCTGTAGAAATCAGTTTGTCTGGTATTGTTTTTGTGCTTTTTTTACTTAACAGTAGGTCTTGCTGACCTTTCTTATTAGTATATAGATCTAATTCATATATATAGTAATGGCTGCATTATAATCAAGAATATCAGTTTTATTTTAAATGTTTCACTGTTAATAAAGTGCAGTAAACCTCCTTTTAGGTATATGTACACACACACAGGTATGTTTTTAGGATGGACACTTATGAATAAAATTAAAGTCTTCACATTTAAGTTTTTGGAGGGGGGATTATGGGAGAGATTCAAGAGTCCCTGGGGGTGCCTGAACCCACAGAATCATCTGAAACCATCCAACCTTTTGTTCCCTAGGTACTTTAAAAGGTAATTCCACCAGAACGTAAATTCCATGACAGCTGGAACCCTCATGCCTTGCTCCAGAAAACAATACCAGGACATACAACATGTTCAGCATCTCAGCAATCACTGAATAAATGAACACATGTAGGGCAGTCACAGGCATATTCTTCAACCAGAATGCAATATGTTCATGGATTTTAGAAAGACCACAAACATCAAAGATGTTTCTCTTCCAGATATTTCTGAGTTATCTGGGATTGTTCTGGGCTCCTAAATTTCCATCCCACCTCCTCTACTGCCCCCACTCCCCACCTTTTCAAATCACCGCCTTGAGTACCTTCACATACTCTTTACCTAAGACATATCCCTTGAGACTCAAACCACCTGCTAGTCCCAATAGAATTTAGAGAACCTGAAATTCAGAATTGTTTTTTAGTAGAGGTGACTCGAGTTAAGACTCCACTGTACTAAAGAGGGAGGGAAATCCTGTGAAGACAAGGTGAATTAGATGGTTTCCTAAAGAGTGAGTACTGAATCATGGAAGGAACTCAGCTCACTGATATTTTCTCCAGCCTGCCTTGAAAGGGGGAGCAAATCAGCCCGATCTACTAGAGACTGACTTGAAGGACCTGTAGAGCACACAGTATGTTTAAGGTAGGAACCTGCCAATCTGCCTGCAATTGGCCAAAAAATACTGTATAAGAAACTTTGAACCAGGCCTTGAGCCAGTAGATACAGACACATTCAAAGTGTTCCCAGTAGCCAGATTCAGCATGAGAAACAAACTAGGCGAAGTTATGTCTGATAGCAAGGGAATTATGTACAAAAGTCTAAAGGAAAGAGCATAGTACTTTAAGGGACCCAAAGGTGATTCAGAGGCAGCTTTGTTAACACACACAGAGTCTGGTTTTCAGGATACAGAAACAACTAAAGTTATTAGAGAATTCACCTGCTTGAACTAAAGTTATTAGAGAATTCACCAACTATTGTTGGTTTAAGGGATTTTTTTTTTCCTTCTGTACCCCTGGGATGCAGTCCCCAATCCAGGGATTTTCAAAGCTTTTTTTTAGCTCAGCAGTCTGTGCTATCTAATTCTCAAGTTAGACCAAAGGAGGTAAGGCAGCTTCTCAGTGGTTCTCAATGGGGCTGGGAGTATGGAATTCACCAACTCCTGGGAACACATCCTTAGCTTCATACTCGGGGAGGAGGTCCTACAAGCAGAGGCTAGGGATATTGCTAAATATCCTAAAATGTACAAGAGAGCCTCCAGAACAAAAAATTATCCAGCTCAAAATGTCAACAGTGCCAAAACCCAATAACTCTGTGCCTAATCTAATTGCAGATAATAAAAAAACCCACTAAGTTCAACCCTCAACTCTGCTGTTCCAAAAAAGAGATCAAAGGAGGCTAAATTATACTAAAAGTTTTGTTCAGTCTCCTCCGGATACACATCTCATAAGAGGAAAATACAACTCCTGCTGAAGGAACCTAAGGAAAAAAAAAAAGTGACAGGACTCAAAGGAAGGGAGAAGAAAGAATAAGCTCCATGTGTAAATACTCAGTGTATGAAGAAAAAAACAATACACAGGGAAGAATATGGAATGTTCCCACCAAATGTGAATAGGCCCAGTCAATGCCATTTATTATACATGTTGAACAGCCTCTGAGACCCAAGGGCTCCCATATGAAGTTTTTTTTTCCTTTTTCTTTTTTGCATCAAACAGGTTCTTCCAAGAGCCTGCTCACAAGGAAGAAAAAAAAGAGTAATCCTCAATAAAATGAAACAAACAGGAAAAGCTGAACAGTCTACATATGAAGAACAAAGGTTAAAAAACTCACCAGACAAAAACCACACCAAACACTCATCCCATTTAATTTCCTGTTACATGCACTGAGGGAGCCAAGAACATCAGGCTCCAAGGCAGCAAAGCTCTGAGGTTCTAGCTCAGGCTCCCCCTATGTGACAAATTCATGCACACACGCCCGCACATACCAGACCCAGGCAGAAATACACATGCATGCACAGGTGGCAGAGAACCACAGGAAGGGTTGTGGGGGAAAGAGGGCTGGTCAAAAATATGCTATCAACTGGAAACTGGGGACCCAGAGAACCCTTCTGCGCAGTCTAAGCAAGAGTCAAAATTAAAAAAAGGGAGAACACAGGATAAACGTAGTATGCCCAGATAAGAGGTTGGACAGATGAAGAGGGAGAGATGCAGGGGGAGTTTTGGGAAAGCAGCCTCAGAAGAGGTTTTTATTGGGAACTCAGGCAGGGGTCCTGTGACTCCAGTGACATACTGAGGCTGAAGTAACATGCCACAGCATTACCTCTGCATCCTGTGCTCTCTCCCACAGTAGAGGGAAACCACAAACACCCACCTTAAACCCCCCCCCCATTGCCGCTCTTAAGGATTTCCCAAGAACCCCGGAAAAAATGACACCCCCCACACACACACAAAGTTAGCAAAGGGCCAAGCAGAGAAAGCCTCAGTAACTCTTCTTGGTGGAACCAAAGCCAGAGAAGCCCATCACAGCTGCCATCTCATCATCCTCCTCAAATGTCAAGTCCTCCTCAGCCCTCCTTTTCTTCTCCTTCTGTTTCTCTTTCTTGTATGCTTTGGCCTTTTCCTCCTAGAGGGGAAATCACTCAGAATCAGTTCAGACTCCTGAGCCAAAGGTTGAAAGAGACAAGTGGGGTCAAGATTCCTTTCTATCTTTAGAAGAAAGCAGTTAAAGACAAGTAAAATTTTAAGAGCAAAGGTAAAGCCGCACTAAAGATTATAAGAAACAACAAAGAAATTTTAGCCTGTGAAGAGCACTTCTCAGTCCTACATTCCACGTCATCTCTGGTTCTTAAAAAGATCATGGAAGCAAAACCACATAATAGCACCTATCATTCTGGGGTACACAGCACATGCCAGGAATTGGTCTATGTGCTTTATGTAGATTATATATTAAGATCTCTAATATGGGGAAACTGAGACACGGAGAGGTTATATAACTTGCCCAAGAGTCATAGCCAGTAAGTGAAGGAAACAGAATTCTGACCTAGTCAGCCTGGTTCCACATGCCTCTTAGGGAGTAGGCCCACAGTGTCCAGGGAAAAAAGGTAGGCTTACATATTCTTAAGATCATGAGAGTCCCAAACAAAGGCAATAAATGTTTCTCCCAATATAAATTCAGGATACAACTATCCTCTGGGGGTGGGAGTGGAATGAGGAAGAACGCCTCCCCATGATTTGTTACATAAAACTCAAAGCTAGGGGATAAAAGATGGAAGAACAGCAGAGCCTTACTTCTTCTCTGAGCTCCTTCATCCTTTCCTCAAAATCATAATCCTTCTGTTTCTCTTCCATCTTCTTCTTGTTGACTTCAAAACGTTTCTTCACCTGATCCAAGGTTGAACGTTCCACACGCATAGACATGCCCAGATTTCGCTGATCTGGGTAGGATGAACAGTGAAAAAGGTAATGTCGGTATAACATCCCCAGCCCCTCAAAAAGTTTTCTTGACATTATAAAAAAATCTCATAAAATACACAGCAAAAATAATTATGGCTGGAAAAACTCCATTGGCTTTACTTGTTCCCAGCAGCAACAGCTACAGATAGCAGGATTCAAGTGGTATTTAACTGCCCTTACTGAGCAAATGCATACCAGTGGGGACAGGTAGGCCACGCAGAAGACCATGGTCTTCTTGTTGAGAGCCTAAAACAGTGTCTCATCCAGGGCCTCCAGAAACATTAGGTAATGAAGTAAATGATGCCCTGTACTGAAGCAACTGGAGTATTTCTCGGGCATTAAAAAAAGATCCAAGAGAAACCACCCTTTTCCCAATTCCAGCCCAATCACAAACTACCTCCAAGACTTACGTTTCTTTCCATTAATGTGATCCAGAAAGTTGATGGAGTCCTTCACAACACAGTCACAGACATTGCAGTAATACCTAGCAAACAGAATAAACAGCACTTGTGGTCAAATTTAGCTATAAGGATCTTAATGTTCTCAGCCAAGAAACTCCTCTTATTTTTTAGGTAAATTTTCTTTTTAAAAGAAAGCACTTCTCATTTTCATAAAGACTTATCTTTTGGAAAAGTATGGTAGCGAACCTCCAAGATGGCCCCACAATGATCCCCAAACTTCTCTATTCCTACTTTGTGTAGTCCCCTCCCAATTTATATTAGGGTTAGTCTGTGACCAAAAGAGTATGTGAAAAGTGATGCCATGTCACTTCCAAGATAGTTTAAAAAAAAAAAAAAAAAAAGTGGCTTCTCTCTTAGTCTGTCCATGTCTTACTCTGGGGAAGCCACTTGCTTTACTGCGAGCAGCACTATGGAGGGGCCCATGGGGCAAATAACTGAGGCCTCCAAAGCACTGCCACATGAAAGAGCCTACAATCAAATGATTTGGCCCCACTTATACCTCAGATGAATGCAGACCCAGCAGATACCTTTACTGTAGCTTTGTGAAACCCTGAGCCAGAACCACCCTAGGTAAGCCTTTCCCAGATTACTTGGACAGAGAAATTGTGAGCTATTTATATTTTATGATGCTAAATTTTGGATTTGTTAACTTACAAAGCAACAAATAACTAATACAGAAAGGAATGACGTTAGTGGATTTTCTAAGCAACTCAGACATGTCATTAACTGCTATTTGTTTTACCCTCCTGCTAGAAAGCCTAAGTGAACATGGAAATCGTAGTGGTGGGCAAAAGAATAAAGAGTTGTTACAGGACACTTATCCCCATGGGAGGAAAGTAGTCAGGAGAAAGGTGTATGACCAAGCAATTCATAACAACTACAGTCTCTGCATCCAGTCTGGAACCTCAACTCAACTCCCTTTATTCATTATCAACATCTCCTAGGCACCATTCTTTCTCCACCTAATATCTCCCCTAAATATCTCTTCAGTAGTCATTTCCTTCTATTCTTCTTTAAATATTAAAAAGCACTTATAGTGCTAGTATGAAGTGACCCACATAGTGACTCCTCCTAGAGACACTATTATGTTTAGTTGAGACCTTCGGGGAACAAAGAAAAACAAACTTAAAGGTAGAATGGTATGCAACAAGGTTGTTATCCTGGGACCAGGGAACCTTCTCAACACTTGCGAAAACCAACAGAGACTTTATTATACCTATTCCTGGCTTCTGAGAAAAATGAAAAGTCACTCACCCTCCCATCTCCGATTGTGGTGTGGTCTTAGTAATGACAATTGTCTTCCCAAGCTTAGATTCCAGGTCCACCTTGTAGTCTCTATGCCGGAGAAGCTCCCTTTTGACTGGTTGCACTGGTTTTCCTAAAGTAAAATAGACAAAGAAGTTTCTTTAATATTTCAGTTCCTGAGCCAGAAAGGAAAAGAAATACATGAAACCCAAAATACAGATATTTACTCTCATTTCTTTCTTGAACCCAAAGCAAGGGACACAAGGAGCATTCTAGCAGCAGCTAGACAAAATCTCGACACAGGAAAAATGATGAGCAATCCCTAAACTTGGTACAGCCTTCATCCACTTTAAAGCCAACAGGTCTAAAGGAAAAGTTTTTTTATTGACTCACTAGCTGAATTAAAAGAAGTTCTGAATTTTCACAAAAAGCAGACTTTTAAAAGTGCAAAGATACTCAGTAATACTTTCAGACAGATACCCCAAGCATAACACAGAAAAGAATCTTCAGAGGGCTGGGGAAAATTTTTAAAGGGGATCAACATTCAGGAAATACTTGTTATGTGGCTGGCACTGCTGTATAAATTAGCTAAAAACGAAAAGGGTTAGTGTGTACAAGATGGTGTGAAAGTAAAGTGAAAGAAGAATGTATATTTTGAAAACAGAAGAGAAAACTCTATCCAGGAGTGGAGCACCAACTCCCGAACACTGTACATAGAGAGCAGTACTACTCAGCAGCAACTAAAAAAGAAAAAAAAAAAAAAATCACACATTTTTTTGCTTAGTACCCTTGCTTTTCTCAGACTACAGGGAAAGGTGTTGATTGAATCCCTTAAGTGACTTTAAGGGAAAAAGGACATCCTCAATAGCAGTAACGTACAGCAACAAAATAATCCACTTCTCTGTCACTACTAAGGATTCCATTCTCTTATCTGTACTTCAGCAAAGTACGAAATGAGCCAAGCAAAAGGAGGGCAAGGAAATAGAAGAAACAGAGCTGATAAACACCTCAAAACCGCTTCAGTCCTTCTTTTTGCTCTCATTTTATACGTTAAGAAATCTAGGACCAGGAAGGCAACGCTGTGCCAGAGGTTACGCAGGGTAAAAGGACAGTGCCTTTCAAATCCCCACCCGCTCTCCGGCTATGGCTTCGCCCTACTATACCCACAGCCCTTAACGGAGCAGGCACGCACCATCCTTCTTTTCTCTCTCTTCCGTGAGCCTTTTCTCGGCGAGCTTCTCATATTCATCTTTGTCCCACTTTCGGCGAAAGTCCAAATTTTTTGTCTGTAGAGAAAAAAGCGCTCAAGATTCGTCGCTAATCATGTCCGACCCCTAGCGAAACGGAGGGACCCGCGTCCACAGCGGCAAGGCGACCCGCAGACCTGTCGAGAGCGAAGACTCTCCAGACCGCACCAGAAGGCTAAGGTAGCCTCAGGACCCAAACCCGAGAGACCTCCGCGATTCCACGGACCCTGCGCCAGGACCCCACGGGGAAGCTCTTGAACCCGCGCCATTGGACCACAAAGAGGTGTCGAGAAGCCAGTCGGGTGCAGGATATTCCGCTCTGAAAAGCCACCCTCGGCCCCCCGACCAAAGCCTCCTCACACACAACACCTACCCCGCTGCCCGACGCCATCTTCACTGCGAAGTGAATGGGAAGCCGGAAAATGACGTAAAAAGCAGCCTTGAGCCGTAAAGCAGTTTTGCCCTCCAATAAGCTTAGAGTCTCGTGTTCTAAACGAGCTAAGGACTGGATGGCTTCTAAAACAAGTTCGTCCGCCCCTCCTCTGCCCAAAGAAAATGACGCATGCGCGAGAGCGGTTTGAAGCAACACGGAAGTAAGGGCGCCTACAAAAGCTTCTTTGCCTAGGCTTTCAAAACGTGCATCGAAGGGCTGATTTAGTTCAACTCATCTAGTTTACAAACGAGGAAACAGTCGAGATCGGTGCCTCTGATCTACTCTAATCAATTTTGCGTGCATTTGCTAAGAGTTTCTAAGTTTTCTTTAAGGCTGAATCGGTTATCAGGAGTTCTAGATGTCCCATTTCCCTGAATGCACTAAGATACAGTCCTGACACTACAGTGTTTTTAAAGGCTGCAACCTTCCCAGCGCACATAGAAAGCGCTTTTTGCAGACTGTCTCTTTGTTTTCAAGCAATGCTAACACTCTTTGGTTAACTCATTTTTCCTTCAACTGAGGAACCTTACACTCATTCAATCTATAGGGCACAATTTAATCAATGATTGTACTTGGAAAGGCCAGTCACAGCAATGCTCTAGGGTGAAGAACTCTGACAGATGGCTCACTATATGTTGATTTAGACATGACTGTATCTCCAAGTTGGGGGTAGGGGGGTTAATGGGGAGCAGTGGGAAACGGTGACTGCTCCATTCACTGAATACAGAAGCATCACCCCAGGGAGGTTGCTCCCAGCTCTCAGAATTCTCCAGTGTACACTCAAGCGTTTTCTATGGTCTATGCAAACCAATCTTTTGATAACAAATCACCCAAGCTACTACATTTAATATTTTATTAAATATATTATCCAATCACTTCTAGAAAGGCCACCTCCATAAGAGAATATAGAAGATAGTCAGAGCAGTAATTCTGGCACAGGAAATGGTCTCCGAAATCTCAAAAGATTAGACCATTGCATGAAGTCACCTATTAAATTCAACTTTCAAGATTACTAAACAGACAGCCTCACTCTATGCAGAGTAGATGGGCTAGAGAGATGCCACATCAATATGAGCACTACTTTACCCTCAGGATAGCATCTCTGTCCTCAAACAAAGGAGAAAGCAGCCATTTTCCCGCTTCTTTGCTGTTTCCCAAAACTCCCTGGACAGGCCACGGGCAGGTTATGGACAAATTCCCCATAATCTGGTTCAGAAGTCACAGTGGAAGGCTAAGTATCTGACTTCTGATCTCAGTGGTCTCAGCCTGAGGCAACTTTCCTAGAGCCTTGCTAAAAGCAACCATCTCAGTACCTATCAGCACCATTCAATGGCACTTCAATTCTGCCATCTGTCTCTGCAGTTAGAGCATGTCAATTTCACATACCAGCCATCTGCATTCATGCAGAATAGCTGCTCACACTAGCCCAGGAGTCCTCAGGGCCTTCCACATTCCTGTAGCCAGAAAGGATGGAGGAGGCAGAGGAACTTGTCACTCATCCTGGCCAGTAGTTGTGAAGTACATCAGCAACTCAGTTCTAGAAGAAACATTTTCTAGAAAGAGGAGTAGACGGCAATCATGCAAGAGTCAAGACTCAGATAGTCGCTTTTGAATTTCAGCCACAAGATTTTCCCGTTTAATGGCCACCTGTAACATAAGAGAACCTTCATGTGACAAACCATAGAGAGTGATGCTAGCTTCTTAGTCACTGCTTTTCCGGATGCATTTTACTCCACATCTGCTCCCACTACGTATGCAACCAACAGGGAGAAGTGTAGGCTTCAAGCTGAACAGGAGAACGTATGGCCTCAAGGGATGCTAACACCTGGGGCACCTGCCTGGCTCAGTCAATAGAGCATGTGACTCTTGATCTTGGGGTTCTGAGTTCAAGACCCATGATGGGGGCAGAGATTACTGAAGAAATAAACTCTTCAGGGGCGCTTGAGTGGCTCAGTCACTTAAGTATCCAACTCTTGATTTAGGCTCATGTCATGATCTCACAGTCTGTGAGATTGGTCTCTGTGCTCACAATGTGGAGCCTCCTTGGGATTCTCTCTCTGCCCCTCCCCTGCTCACCCACTTCTGAGTATACTTTTTCTCTTTCTCTCAAAATAATTAAGCATTGAGGGGCACCTGGGTGGCTAAGTCGGTTGGGTGTCCGACTTCAGCTCAGGTCATGATTTCACAGTTCGTGAGTTCGAGCCCCGCGTCTGGCTCTGTGCTGACAGCTAGCTCAGAGCCTGGAGCCTGTCTTCAGATTCTGTCACCCTCTCTCTCTGACCCTCCCCTGCTCATGCTGTCTCTCTCTCTCTCTCTCTCAGAAATAAAACATTAAAAGAAAAAAATAATTAAACATTAAAAAAAAAGAAGAATCTACGAAAAATAGAAACACTTGGTTCCTTCCATTTCCCCCACTCACCTCCTCCCTGCTGGCCACTGAACGAAGCTTGATTATCCCTTCTTTCATTTCTTGCTCACCAATAATGACCACCAGTGGAATGCCCATGTCCTCACAATAGTGCAGTTGAGTTAGTAGTTTAGGGTTGTTTTTATACAGCAGCTCTGCCTGAAAAGGATGAGATAGAGTAAGGGGCTGAAGAATAACCAGACTACTCAACCCCAGCAACAAGCATTGCCAAAGAATTAAATAGCTAATCCTCCTACTAGAAGATACTCTAGTGAAGACTAGAAAGTTCTTAAGTTCCACCCTGCATAAGGTAGAAATGGCCACCTGAATGGCCACATATATCTAGATGACCTGGATATCAGTTCTATCATACCTTGATACCGGCATCCCAAAGCTCTGCAATTAGCTTCAACCGTTCATGAAGAAAGTTCTTCTGTGGTGTGGCCACAAACACTTGGGTCTCTGTGGTCCGTATCTTGTGACCAAAAGTCTGATTAAAGAGAGAGGGAAGAAATAAAACTAATAAAAAAACTTCCTGTGCATCAGAAATTTAAAAAAAAAAGGATCATCAAAAAAAAATCTAACTGTATATCCAAAAACATGAGTTTTTTAAGTCTCCAGTCTCACTCCACCCTAACCTAAGACCTACCTTCATCCTCTGCTCCACAATGGAGAATATTCGTTCTACCCCAATACTGAGTCCCACGCATGGCACCTTGTGGCCTTTGGGGTCAAACATGCCCACCAGCCCATCATAGCGTCCTCCAGCAGCCACACTGCCCACACTGAAGGACTCCTCAGCCTGAGCTGGGGTCTGTAATAGCACTGCTTCATAGATCACGCCAGTATAGTAGTCTAGGCCCCGAGCTAGGCTTAGGTCAAAAGAGATCTGTGGGAACAAGGATAAAGTAAGTCTCAGAAAAGACTCAGGACCCTGAGAGCCCCAAAGCTCAGCCAGAGGTCCATTGCCAGCTCAGCTTACCTTCTCAGCAATTCCAAATAAAGTCAGGTATTCAAATAGGAGCTTCAAGTCCCTCAAGCCCTCTAGGGCCTGCTTGTTCTGAGACAGTCTAGGATCCTGGAACATTTGCTCTATCAAGGACACCCCACCTGGGGAGACATATGGGGAGAAATAAGATCTGTGCTATTCACCCAGATGTGTTTTATCCATATTTATTCCTAATGTGTTCCAGCCAATCCTCTTCATTTTTTAAATGTTTATTTATTTATTTTGAGAGAGAGAAAAGGGAGCAAGCTCTCACGCATGCATGTGAAAGTGAGCCAGAGGGAGAGGGGCAGAGAGAGAGGGAGAAAAAAAGAATCCCAAGTAGGCTCCGCTCTGTCAGTGCAGAGCCCGACTCGTGACTCAGTCCCATAACCCATGAGATCATGACCTGATCCAAAATCAGGAGTCAGATGCTTAACCGAATGAGCAACCCAGGTGTCCCTAGTCCTCTTCATTTTATTTAAAAAAAAAATCCTGATATTTTATGACCAGAGTCGCCTCCTTTGCCTTTGCTATCTGAAGACATAAGTGATTACACTAAATAAAAGGGAAACTAAGTTCAAGCCAGGTTCTGATGCTTCGCACAACTTCAGAAAGGAGCTGTTTCAGAGGTAGGAGTTGTACACCCATCACTCTCACTCCAGTTCTATCACACAGCCCAGAAAATGCTGGTTCTTACCATGACATTGGACATAGTCCCCAATTCTATCAGCCACTTCAGGAGCCAGGCCTTTCTTTGCCACCATCTCATGTCTCACATCTTTCCAAGGTATCTGTGCAAACACTCAAACGTTAGCCCAGTTCCAAAATCCTTCTTTACCTAACTGGAAGTGTCATGAGGACCTAACATTATACTCAGCAAAGTCAGAGGCAGCTCAGGAAATCCAGCCACAGGGGAACAGATTTGAGGGCAGGGCAGAAACTGAGATATGGTCTACTAAAACATGTATTTTTTGTTACCTTGTCTAGTTTGTCTATCGAGGAGCAGATGGCATGGAACTTGCTTTCAGGAACACCACAGACAGCAAACAACCCATCCAAGATCCGCCGATCACTGACCTATGAACTCAGTGGAAATAACACAGGTGCTTTCTCAATGCCCTTTCCCTCAAAACAATGGCAGTCCCTACTAGCTTGTCTCATAAAAGGGACAGAAAAAAATTTTCATAGGATGACTATATACAAATAAAATTAAATAACTATTTTGAGAAAGTCCCAGATCCACAGGCTTAAAGGCTGGGGTCACCTATGTTTTAGGACAGAATCGTGCCAAATCCAGGACTTTTCCCCTCAGTCCTTAGCCCTGGTCTCACCTTAATGATGAAGTCTCCCAGCTGCAACCCACTAAGAATTTCACACATGATCTTCAAACACTCTGCATCAGGGATCATAGGGTCAAAATGACCAGCAATGTCAAAATCCTACAACAAAGAAAAAGACAAGGGAAAAAAAAACCTTCACTGAGCAGCCAGTTCTCAGGTTGTAGCCTCCCCAACTATCAAACCATGCTGCCCCCATCAGGTCACTTACACACTGGCAGAACTCCCTGTAGCGGCCTTGGACTATGGTTGGGCTCTCCCGCCGCCACACCTTTCCAACATGGTAACGTTTCATCTTCTTCACCTTATTCATGGCCAGATAACGAGCAAAAGGGACCTCACATAAATAAGTTAAGGAGGAAGGATACTGCATCCAAAGCTGAGGCCCAGTGTGTAAACATTTGAGAGGACTGGGCCATTAGCATTTGGATCTCATCTACTAGGATGAGAACAAGGACCTTCTCTGTCTTGTTTCCCATGATCTTCAATGCCTAGCAGTGCTTGACATTCAATATACATAAAGGAAAGAAGGAATCCCTCCAGGCAAAAGTGCAAGTCCAGGAAAAAGCAAGGGAAGCTGGTCTACTGGCCACTAAATGAAATAGAAATGACCCAAGAACTTCAAGTATGGGCTATTCCTTCCAATTCAGATCAATTCTCAATTATTTCAAAATAGTCAAGTTTCAGAACCTGGATTTCCATGCAACTATGTTGATGTTTCTTAAAGTGTAGGTCAAGAACCATCTGCCTCTTCATGACATCAGGTGCCTGTTTAAAATGTAGACTGCTTAGCCCCACTCCAGCTACAGAATTAAAAATATCTGGGGGTAGGAGCCAGAAATCTGTATTCCTGCAAACTTCCACAAGGGATTCTGATATCCTTTAAAGGCTTAAAGTTAAATGACAATGCTCCAGGCTAGGCTCTGCTAATAGCAGAAATGCTTTCTGGAAAGAATTGGAAGGAAGGTCTGCTACAAACAGACCTATGGGGTCCCAGAGGCACTTTTGTCCCTTTTGACAAAGAGCCATCTGATTTTGGAAAGAGATGTCAGTCTCCAACACTTAGAAAGATACAGTAAGGTCATAGCGCAGGGACAACAGCTCTCCACCCTGATCCTTCAGGTCATAGATGAGCCCAGAGTTCTCTCCATACTTCTCAGTGAGCACTTCCTGCAGGGAACAAAAATTGCCACAGGTGAAAGGACTCTAAAACAAAGGCTAAAAGTGCTTTCAAAAACTAAAGGCAGGTGAAGAAATGGAGTTCCAACAGTTTTTTCTCTTCTTACCTTTAGCTCAAATGCTGGAGTATCTAACCTCTTTGCTCCATGACGTTTAAAGCAGCCAACAACCATATTAAGAATTTTCTCCCTCACAACCATCTGCTGGGGACTAAGATCTCTGGTGCCCTAGAAACCAAAAGGAGTCATTGCGAAAACAAAGACAAAAACAAGTCCATTTAAGACAAAGAGTTAAACAACATCTGCAATCGAAGGTCTGAGTTTGAAATCTCTTTGAATTCAGATGACTGAGCCTCATCATTATCTCAAGAATAGTGAATTCCTTTTTTTAAATTAGTCTAAAAAAAACATTAAAAGGGATTAGGAAGAGACAAGCAGAGCAAGCAGAAGGCAGAACAGAAAGCAGTCCTCCAAGGCACACTAACTGGACAGGGTGGGGCAAAGGGCATTCATTACCTTAGGGGTCTTGACAATAAAATTCGATTTCTCTTGATGTGGTTTCAGTTGGGATGTTAACACTGCCTCTGCAACCTGTCAGAAAAAGGAATTTGAGATGTGCTCCTCTTAAGACCGGCCAGACCTGTGACACTTCTGGCCCCATGTCCAGGCCTACCAAGACATTTGGCCCTGAGCAACAGTCAGACTGAACAGTTTTATCTACTCCAATCTCAGCCTTACTCTGATACATATGTTGTATGTGCATTATATATGTAATACATATGAGATCAGGTCTTTATTATTGTTGTTGTTTTTCTTTAATGTTTTTTGTTTATTTCTAGGAGAGAGAGAGAGAGAGACAGCGTGAGCAGGGGAGGGTCAGAGAGAGGGAGACACAGAATCCGAAATAGGCTCCAGGCTCTGAGCTGGCAGTCAGCACAGAGCCCGACGCGGGGCTCGAACCCACGAACCGCGAGATCATGACCTAAGCGAAAGTTGGACGCTTAACCGACTAAGCCACCCAGGCGCCCCTCATTGTTGTTGTTTTTAAATGTATTCACTACATTTGGAGTTTTAAATGTCTGAAAAAGCTTAAGGACCGAAGAACAATGAAGGCACAGAACAACCCACCACTACCACCACCAACCATCTAGAAGTAGGGATTAGTATGATCTACAATTCTCAATTCCTACCCAAGAGCAAAACTTTAATTTTTAATAAGATAGCAGAGGTCATTAGGCTTGGAGACATGGAAAAAGTAACCCAAAAACAGAAAAGAACCAGCCCAAAACACAGAACATGCCTATGGACTGAACAGGAATGGATATCCAAATTGAACTAAAAAAACCCAGATTGGTAGGATCTGAACCCTGTTATTTATGATAGTAAAAGGCCTCTGCTAGGGTCTTTACCAATGTAAAAGAGAATCCATAATTTTGTTTATTAGCACGAGGCTGTATGCCCCTTCCTGAAATATAGAGGGTGTAGTAGTTCCATATTTTCTCCTCCAAAGGATGACAGTTCACGTCCACAATCCTCCCTCTACCATTCCAAAATCCTCTAAAAAATGAAAATGGTTTTTTGTTTTGTTTTGTTTGTTTTTGGAGGGGGGAGTGTTCTTCATTGTGAGGTAAATTCTAATGTGAACTCAGTCCACTTATGCCCTTCAGTCACCTCACGTAATGGTAATAACCATATACTTCACTTAAGAATGTGTTTGACCCCAAGAGGTTCACATAAAGGATTGAGGACCTATATTACAAATGCTTCCGTACTATGTATCTGTAGATAAGTCATTTAACCTAGCCTGCTGTTTCCTCAACTGTAAAACGGAAATAATCCCAACCTCTCAAGACTGCTATAAGGATTAAATGACAAAGCATCTAAAACACTTAGGTCAGTACCCCTAAACTACTCCAAAAACCCCGATAGTACTAATAGAGTGCAGGCCGCGAATCCCTGCAACGGATCTGGAGATCCTGCCCCGACAGACCACTCAGCCTGGCTCACCTGGCTATGAACATGGACCTCCCTGATGCACAAAGCACGGGGCGAACGCAGAAGTTGGCCAAACAGTGAAGCCCAAGCCCTCATGTGCACGAGTCCGAACAGGGGCATCGTGTAGCAAGAAACCGCCTTTGCGAGACAGGAGCCAAAACCTGGGAACGAAGCAGGTCGAACCTAGTGAGCATGCAGAGCTCTGTAAAGGGCAGCCCTAGCCGACTGGGAAAAGAGAATACTTCCGCACTTTCCAACCCCTGCAGGATGGCCCCAGACCTCTCAGGCTCAGTCCCAGTTTCCGTACTTCCGGTAGTAGCAGGAAGTGGGTGGTTTTTTTCCCCCGGCGGAGGCTCTCTAGGCGTGCAGTCCAGTGACTCGATAGCCGGAAGTTATCCAAGCGGAGGCTGCAGCAAGCACAGCGGATCTAGACAGCAGTCAGAGCTAGTTGGCAGAAGTATGGCAGAACGTGCGGCACTGGAGGAGCTAGTGCGACTTCAGGGAGAGCGCGTGCGGGGCCTCAAGCAGCAGAAGGCCAGCTCTGAGCAGGTGCGACCCAGGTGGCAGGGGAGAAGCCAAAGTTGGGCCAGGGAGAACGTAGAGTGGGTGGTCTGCATGGAGGAAAAAGATGTGGGAAAAGGGACCGGACCAGTGGGGAGGAGCAGGGCCTGCTTGGGAAAGTGGCTGGGGTAGGACGAGAGAAGCAAAGCTGGGCCTGGAGAGCGAGATCTTCCCCAAATTCTGATGAGGGAGGGATACTGAATGGATGGCTGAAGAGGAAGGGAGTGTCAGAGTGACAGACTAGCACCTACTTTACCTCCACAGATCGAGGAGGAAGTGGCAAAACTACTAAAACTGAAGGCACAGCTGGGCCCTGATGAAGGGAAACAGAAGTTTGTGCTCAAGACCCCCAAGGTAAATATAATTCCTCTAGAGAGTCTCTGAGAGGGCCCTTAATTCCACTCCCAATGGTGGATGTGCTTGTCTCCCTGAACAGTTGCTCTGGGTGGTGGGCTGAATTGGAGACTGAGTCATTCTGGAATAGCAAAGTGATGGCAGAAACTAGGCCAGCTGGTTGCTTAGGGGAGTATGCCAGGTACTGCTACTCCTTCTTTCATTCAGCAAATATTTACTGAGTGCTTACTATGTGCCTAGCACTGCAGGAAGCAGAGTGTACCATGGTGAACAATACAGCCTGCCCTCGTAGAGCATCCTTATGAAGGAAACAGACTTAGGACAAATAATCCTACTCTTGAATATGTAATTATAAATTGTGATAAATGATATAAAGAAATAACAAGAATTCCCTGAGAAAAAATAAGAGAGAACTAGAGTCTGAAAAAGCCTCCCTGAAGAAGTGATATACTAGCTGACATAACACATAAATGGGAGGTAGCCAGAGAAGTATGGAAATCCTGAAGGAGAAAAGAACTCTGGTAGTTTCAAGGAACTAGAAAAAGACCTGTATGAGTAGAACCAAATACAGAGGGAGAGTAGAGTGGACTGGAATGAGGCTGTGGATTACTAGCGCAGCTTCAAGTATTTCAGTTCAGAGGCCACACTGTGTAAGTTCTCTAAACACAACTATTTACCATTTCATCTCGGTTCCTTTGCTACCTCATATATATCTCTGTTATTGCATTTCTTGCTGTCTTTTAGTTATTCATATGGTTTATTTACTCAGAAGCTGAGACTAGGTGTCTGGAACTGAATAGATACTTAATAAATATATGTGAAATTGGATTCCAAAGGAGAGGGGTCTTCCTTGTGTTGAGGTGTCACCTTTTAAGGTTAATTCTTTGGGATCCTAAATTCATTGAGCTATTCCTTTCCACACACAACTAATTTCAGAGGTTAAAGAGACAATGTAAAATCACAAAGCAGTGATTATCAATAATTATTCAAACTACATGGTGAAAAGATTAATGGGGAATTTGTGATCATTCAGCCTGGCATCACTTAAACCTATCAGGCTTAACATCAGTAAAAGTAGGACACCCAGACATTATGTTGCTCCTGATGTGATGCAATAAGAAGTACACAGCACCTCCTATGAAGTATTCTTGCCAAGAAAAATTGAACCTGAATATAATCAGGTCTTCTGACCTAACTACCAGTTTACCAGAGTTAGAGAGATGGAGGAATATGTTAAATGACACGTTGAATATATTGTGAATAAAATCTAGAATATGAAAAGTTCTTTAGAACAAGTGATTCAATTTCCTCAACAAATAAATGACATTTTTTTAAAGATTAAGTAGACAAGAGACAGCAAACAATGCATGGGCTTCATTTAGAATCTCATTTGAACAAGCCAATCATAAAAAATATTCTTGAGGCAATTGGAGAAAACTAAACATAGTTTGAGTATTAGAAATACTATTAAAATTTTTTTTTAATGTTTCTATATTTTTGAGAGGGAGATAGAGACAGCTATGAGCAAGGGAGGGTCAGAGAGAGAGGGATACAGACTTCGAAGACAGGCTCCAGGCTCTGAGCTAGCTGTCAGCACAGAGCCCAACACGGGGCTCCAACCCATGAAGCGTGAGATCATGACCTGAGCCGAAGTCGGACACTTAACCGATTGAGCCACCAGGCACCCCGAGTATTAGAAATATTAAAGCGTTGTTGCACTTTGGGGATGAGCACTGAGTGTTATGTGGAAACTAATTTGACAATAAACTATTTGTAAAAAATAAAATAAAATAAAATAAACATTAAAAAAATAAAAAAAGAAATAAAAAAAAAGAAATATTAAAGGGTTGCTGTTTGTTTTGTTGGTGAATAAAGGTAATGTTTTGCCTTTTTTTTTTTTTTTTAACCTTGTGCATTAGCGAATCATACTCAAATATTTATGGACAAACTGGTATGGTATCTGGATCTACTTTAAAATACTCCAGAAAAGATGGGGCGCCTGGGTGGCTTAGTCGGTTAAGCGTCCGACTTTCGCTTAGGTCATGATCTCGCGGATCGTGGGTTCGGGCCCCGCGTCGGGCTCTGTGCTGACTGCCAGCTCAGAGCCTGGAGCCTGTTTCAGTCTGTGACTCCCTCTCTCTCTGACCCTCCCCTGCTCATGCTGTCTCTTTCTCTCTCTCCTAGAAATAAATAAAACATAAAAAAAATTTTTAAAAAAATAAAATAAAATAAAATACTCCAGAAAAGAAAATATTAGAGCATAGATAAAATAAAAATAACAGATGCTAATGGTTACTATTGAAGCTGGGTAAGAGATACATGGTGGTTTATTATTACTATTCTCTATAATATGTGTTTGAAAATGTCTATACTCTTTTAAAGAAAGTGAGACTATATTGGAGAGTTAATAACTGCTTTAGTTTGTTGAAACACACTGAAGTGTGATTTATATTAATAGAAAATTCAGTATCATGGGGACAGGACTCTTTTCAGAGGTTTTTGTGATCAAAATTATTACAAAAAATTTTTTTTAATGTTTATTTTTGAGAGAGAGAGAGAGAGACAGAACGAACGCGGGCAGAGAGAGAGGGAGACACAGAATCTGAAGCAGGCTCCAAGCCCTGAGCCGTCATCACAGAGCTCAATGTGGAGTTTGGACTTTTGAACCATAATATCATGACCCGAGCTGAACTTAACTGAGCCACCCAGGCACCCCTGGTCACAACTATTCTTAGGATAATACTGAAATGTTATTTGTTTTTTTCACTTCATTTGCTATAAAGATGCAAAAGCAATGGTGAGTAGAACTGCTGGTATCTTAGCACAAAACAAGACAGTGGCACTACCCTGTACTAATAGCCATCTTGTTCTCTATTTTCATGCACCTTCAGGGGTAAAAATTAGTTTTACTTAGGAATGTCCTTGATAAAACAATAGAAATTACTCATTTTATTGAATATTGAATATCAACCCTTGAGTATATTCTTTTATATTTTAGTGTTCTGTGTGATGAAATGGAAAGATTACATAAAGCACTTCTGCATTCCAAAGTAGGAAAAACACTTACACCCTTGTATGAGTTGTAAGCTGAACTAGCTACTTTTATCACAGAACACCTTTTTTATTTGAAAGAAAAATTGAAAGACAAACTTTTGTTTTAAAGATTTGGATATTTGGCATACATTTTCACAAATATGAATGAAGTGAGCTTTGTCACCTCAAGGAAAATATATGACCTTATTTGTACCAGTGATAAAATTCAAGCACTGAAGTGAAATTTAGGATTTTAGGAAACTTGTATCTTGTACCATGAGCTAGACAGCTTCCCAATACATTAGTTAAAGACTTTCCTCTTGAGATCTTTGCTGATATTAACAAATGTGTTTTCTGATAGTGTATAATGAGTGTATAAACATTTGGATGATCTGTATAATTTATCAATGGGCCAGTATTTTCTTCATGACCAATGTTATAATGATGTTATAAAATCATGCATGGGTAAAAGATCCATTTAAAGTACAACATGGAGCAGTAGATATTTTTTATATTATGGTAAAATGTATGTAACATAAAGTTTGCCATTTTAACCATTTATAAGTCTACATTTCAGTGGCATTACGTAGGTTCATTGTTGTGCAGCTGTCACCACTGTTCATCCCCAGAATCTTTTCATCATCCCATACTGACGTTCTGTACCCATTAAGCAGTAACTTTCCACTCTCCCCTTCCTTTAGCCCCAGGTAACCACTTTTCTACCTTCTGTCTCTATGAATTCTGGGTACTATATATAAGTAATGGATTTTATGTAACAGTATGAAAAGTTCAGTGATGAAGTTTCACATTCCTCATTGCAACCAATCTTTAAGAAACCACCACTTGTGGGGCGCCTGGGTGGCTTAGTCGGTTGAGCGTTCGACTTTCGCTTGGGTCATGGTCTCGCGGTTCGTGGGTTCGAGCCCCGCGTCGGGCTCTGTGCTGACTGCCAGCTCAGAGCCTGGAGCCTGTTTCAGTCTGTGACTCCCTCTCTCTCTGACCCTTCCCTGCTCACGCTGTCTCTCTCTCTCTCCTAAAAATAAATAAAACATTAAAAAAAAAAAAAAAAGAAACCACCACTTGTTGGATTTTGGTATAGTTTAAGAATACCTACAGTTAGCTGAAAAGTTTATTAAAGTATTCCTTCTTTTACAGTTACACATCTTTGTAAGGCTAGATTTTCTTTACACAACCAGAACAACATATCACAACAGAATTAAATGCACAAAGTCTGTATAAGAATACAGTTGTCTTCTGTTAAGCCAGACATTAAAGATTTGCAAAAATGTGAATCAGCACCATCCCTTTCACCAATTTTTTTTTTGTTGTTTTGGAAAATA